TCCTCCTCCTCCTCCTCCTCCTCCTCCTCCTCCTCCTCCGCCTCCTCCTCCTCCTCCTCCTCCTCCCTCCTCCTCCTCCTCCTCCTCCTCAGTCCTCCTCCTCCTCCTCCTCCTCCTCCTCCTCCTCCTCCTCCTCCTCCTCTTCCTCCTCCTCCTCCTCCTCCTCCTCCTCCTCCTCCTCCTCCTCCTCGGGGGCCGGCCTCTGTGCCCCTGGGGCGAGCAACCGGCCAGGGCTCAATTGCCCCGACGCGCCCGCGGGGAAACGCAGCGCATACCGCGTTCAAAACGTTTGTGTCAGCACGCTGCGTGTTGACTCAGCACGTGTTGGTCCACGCTTTGGCGAACGCATCGCGCCAGACCTGCGTTTGAAGTCTGCGTGTTGAGCAACGTGTCAACGCCCTACGTACTGCGTGTTGCGTATCGGGGCAGCTGAGGGCCAGGGCGCACTCCCCCGGAGGAGTCCGCGGGCCGATTTTAGGCGGAGTCCAGCCCTGGCGCATGTGGTGGGATCAGAACTAACGGGGGCGGCCCGGGTGGCAAATTCCATCCGAGCCCCGCTGACTGACGGCCCCCTCTACTTCCCCGGGGCCAGGCCCCTCCTCCTCCTCCTCCTCCTCCTCCTCCTCCTCCTCCTCCTCCTCCTCCCTCCCCTGCTCCTCCTCTCCTCCTCCTCCTCATCATCATCCTCCTCCTCCTCCTCCTTCTCCTCCTCCTCATCCTCCTCCTCCTCCTCCTCGCCCTCGCCCTCGCCCTCCTGCTCCTCCTCCTCCTCCTCCTCCTCCTCCTCCTCTTCATCCTCCTCCTCCGCCTCCTCGCTTGTCGCCCTCATCATCCTGAGCAGCGGGCAGACTGCAGCGACCCAGGCTGCCACCCGCGAGATCCACGCCATCTCCCGCTCGCTCCCGGAGGACGCCAGCGCGGCGGGCCAGGCCGCGGCGGAGCTGGCGGAGGCCCGGCAGGCCGCCCGCAGCGGCTGAGAGCTCTTCGTCGTCGCCGCCGCCGTCGGCGTAGTCGTCGCCGGCGTCGGCGTCGTCGCCGTCCTCGTGGGCGTCGTGGGCGGCGGCATCATCGTCGCCAGGGTCGCCAGGGTCGCCGTCGTCGGCGCGGGCGTCGTCGTCGTCGTCGTCGTGGGCGTCGGCGTCGTCGCTGTCGGCACTGGTGGTCGTCGTCCCACGTTGTCGGGGACAGCCTCGCACGCCGAGGCCGTTGGCGTCTTGGACTTGCCGCTCTTCCCGGACCAGAGCGGCGCTCTCACCGAAGGGGCCCCGCTCGAGATGAGGCTTAAGCGTCGCGGGCTGCTAGGCGTGCTTCACTGGGCCTTGGATTCCCGAGGGTCCGCAGCCTGGTGCCCTGGCCCTGGCTGCTGCCGCGTTCCCAGCTGCTCCTGGCTCGGTCTTGTGTCCTGGCCGTCGCTGCGGCCGCTTCTGTTTTTCCGAGCCACGTGTAGAGGCGCCAATCGTGACCGTGTAGCCCGTCGTAGTGTTGACCGCGACAAGCCTATTATCACCGCGACCGAGGAGTCCCAGCCCGCGTCAGCGTCTTTCGCCGGCCTCGATTCCGAATGTTCCCAGCTCGGTCCCGTGCTGGATGACGCCCATGGTCCTTGTCGCTGGCTGTTCCCTACTCCCGGTTGCCCATAGGCTGCATCCCACAAGGCGTTCCCCATAAGTTTCACCCCTTGCACCTTCGTCCGCACTTCGCAAACTACACCTCACACGTTGGATGCCGTATGAGCTGCGCGCAATAACGGCAGGTCCATGTTCGGGGCCCACGCGACAATATCGTTCTTCACCAGTTAGCCTTGCCTTATGGGTTCTTACTTGGTTAAAGGTTTTAAAGGTTGGTGTTTCCTATTGTTAAGTTGTCCGTTGCTCAAAGGTTCCTCGGGATCCTCGGGTTCCCCGCCCCCAGCGCCTCCTATTGTCACGTTGCCTGTTTCCCGGAGGCTCCTCGGGTTCCCCGGGTTCCTCGGGTTCCCCGCTCCCGGTGCCTCCTATCGTTACGTTGTCCGTTGCTTCGAGGTTCCTCGGGCTCCCTGGGTTCCTCGGGTTCCCCGGGTTCCTCGGGTTCACTGCCCCCGGTTGCCCCAAGCGATGCCAAGCAACACCAAGCAATTCCCAGCGATGCCAAGCAATGCCAAGAAATGCCAACCCATGCCAACCCATGCCAAGCAATGCCAAGCAACGCCAGGCAATGCCAAGCGATGCCAAGGAATGCTAAGCAATGCCAAGCGACACCAAGGAATGCCGAGCAATGCCGAGCGATGCGCCCTGTGCCAAGGAATGCCAAGCGATGCGCCCAGCGATGCGCCCAAACAACAGGCTGTCCCCTACCTGGGGTCGCGCCGGGTTCATTTAGTGGTCGGGCCTCTGGAGGACGACGGGGACCACGGAGGGCAACACGCGGCGCAGAATCCAGAACCCCAGAGCCCCAGGGATTACTTGGCTGTGCTCGCAAGGGGTTGGTGCGAGGGGACGGCTTTCGAAGAAGGCGGGGGGACTTCTCAGGAGGCAGGTGGGCTCTATGAGAAGGGCCCAGGGCTTCTGAGAAGGATTATTAGAATGCTGCAGGGCTATTCAGAAGTCCCCGCCCCGTCTTCTCAGAAGCCCGCCCCCCTCGCCCCCCCCAGACCCCCGACGTCATGATTTTTTCGTTACGTCGACCCCTGGAGGTCTCGACCCATTCCCCTTGACCGGTTTTTCATCCTGAGTCGTTTTTTGACAGTTTCGAAAGCCGGTAAGGGGCCTCAGTGGCCGAAAATAGCAAAAATTTCCCGGCATGATTTTTGCATTCACCAAGGGGGTCTCGGCCTCGTGCACGCCGCCCGGCTTCAGAGCCCCAGGTACGAAAGACACCAGGGCGTCGGAAGCTTGCGGAAAAGGCCAGCGGAGGCCAGCGGAAGCGGATCGACGGCGGCTCTACCAGCGGAGGCTCTGCGGGGGAGGGGGAGGGGGTGGAGGAGGAGGAGGAGGAGGAGGAGGAGGAGGAGGAGGAGGAGGCGGAGGAAGGGAGGAGGAGGAGGACGAGGAGGAGGAGGAGGAGAGGAGGAGCAAGGAGGGGGGGAGGGGAGGAGGGGAAGAGGAGGAGGAGGGGAGGGAGGAGGAGGAGGAGGAGGAGGAGGAGGGAGAATTGGGGGGGAGGAGGGAGGAGGAGGAGGAGGAGGAGGAGGCAGGAGGAGCAGGAGGAGGAGGAGGACGAGGACGAGGACGAGGGAGGAGGAGGAGGAGGAGGAGAGAGGAGGAAGGAGGAGGAGGAGGAGGACGAGGAACGAGGAGGAGGAGGACGAGGAGGAGGAGGAAGGAGGAGGAGGAGGAGGAGGAGGGGAGGACGAGGGACGAGGACGAGGAGAGGACGAGGAGGAGGAGGAGGAGAGGAGGAAGAGGAGGAGGAGGAGGAGGAGGAGGAGGAGGAGGTGGAGGGAGGAGAGGAGGAGAGGAGGAGGAGGAGGGGGGAGGAGGAGGGAGGAGGGAGGGGAGGACTGAGAGGGAGGAGGTGGAGGAGGAGGAGGAGGAGGGGAGGAGGAGGAGGAGGGGAGGGAGGAGGGGAGGAGGAGGAGGAGGAGGAGGGGGGGGCCCAGGATGTCGGTATTTTTGATGTCAGTTTCTGAAGTCGCCCAGGATAATGGATCTTGTCCACGTCCTTCCGTTCCAATTCTTCTTCAGTTCCCCAATCCGCTGCCCCCGTGTGCTCCCGTGTGCTCCCGTGTCCCCATGCCCTTCATTCCCCCGCGTCGTCCCGCCCATTTGCTCACCCCCGCCCCGCCCTTTCTCTCTTCCCTCGCCCAGGGGATGACGAGAAGGAGGGACAGAGGCAGGGGCAGGGAGAGGACGACAGAGGGGAAGGCAGAGGACGGACACCCCTCGACGACGACGACGACGACGACGACGACGACGACGACGACGCAAAGACGAGGACAAAGACGACGACGACGACGACGACGACGACGACGACGACGGCGACGATGACGACCCTCAACGACGACGAGGACGACGACGACGACGACGAGGACGACGACAACCCGACGACAATCCTCGAAGAAGACGACGACGATCGACGACGATCGACGATCGGCGAAGCCGACCGGCGACCGACGCACTCCTGCGCGCAAGCCCTCGAGAGTGGGCATGCCTTCGACCTTTCTCGCCCCTCCGCGTCCTCCTTCCCCTCATCCTCCCTCCTCGTCCTCATCGTCCTCCTCGTCCTCTCCCTCCTCCTCCTCCTCCTCCGCCTCCTCCTCCTCCTCCTCCTCCTCCTCCACAATTACTCAATATGAAAATACTCTCCCTCTTCCCCTGATGGCGTCCGGGTGATGGCCGCGCACCCTCCGCGTACTGTTTTTTTACACAGGATTCCCGGGAAATCCCGGGAAACGACTCTCGCTGAGGCGCCGGCGTCATTTTTTCCCAAAATGCTGCTCTCGTTGAGGCGCCGGCCTCATTTCTGCTCCCGAATCGTTCCGAATCGTGCTCCCGCTGCAGCGTGGGCCTCATTTTCGGATCGGTGTTTGGCCTCCGTCGTTCAGGATGGCGTTCTCGCCCCAGCGCGGGCCTTTTCTCGCGCGCCCATCCGCCCGCCACCACCGCGCCGCACCACCACCACCACCACCACCACCACCACCACCACCACCACCACCACCACCACCACCACCACCACCACCACCCACCACCACACCAGCACCAGCACCAGCACCACCACACCACCACCACCACCACCACCACACACCACCACCACCACCACCACCACCACCACCACCACCACCACAACCACGCACACACGCACGCACGCACGCGCACCACCACCCACTACGCACGCGCGCGCGGAGCCACAGGTCCGCTACGACACGCGTCCGCGGATAGAGAAAATCAGCGCCATGGTAAGGGATGGGAGGGAGGGGTAGGACGTCAGATATGACGCGAGCGCACCTAGCTTGTCCTCCTCCTCCTCCTCCTCCTCCTCCTCCTCCTCCTCCTCCTCCTCCTCCTCCTCTTCGCTCGCCCGCGCCTGCTGCGAAATATGTTCCTATAGCCCAAGGTCGAGCAAGTTTTTTTCGCGGCTGAGGCGCGCATGCGGCGAAGCGCCTGCTCCTCCTCCTCGCCCTCCCCCGCCTCGTCTTCCATCACTCCGCCTGAGACCTCCTCACACCACTCGTGATCCTGAAGCTCGAACCTCGCAAGAGCTCCACGGATGTGGGGAGGGTCTTTGTCAGAAGGCGTCCCTCTCCTCAGCGCTGCCGAGCACCTTCGCCTCAAAAGGTGCACAAGAGAGCCTGGCGGATGGAGGACGGCTCGCCTCCAACGTGCGGCTCTCGCCCCAGGCCGCGCACGTTCGTCTTAAGAGTTTGCAAGGGCTTCACGGATGGAGGGCGACTCCTGTTCAGAATGTGGCTCTCGCCGTGGCGCCGCGCACGCTCGCCCCAGCAGCTCGCAAGAGCTGCACCGGGGTGGCTTTCAAGATGCGGGTCTCACCAGTGCACCGCGCACACAGTCGTTTTTTTTCAAGTGTGCAAGAGCTTCACGGATGGAGGGCGACTCCTTTTCAAGATATGGCTCTCGCTTTGGCATCGCGCACACTCGTCTTTAAGAGCTGGCAATAGCTTCACGGGTGGAGGGCGGCTCCTTGTCAAGGTATGGTTCTCGCCTTAGCGCCGCGCGCATTTAGCTTTAACATGAGCACCAGCTCCAAGGATTTTCACGATGGACGTGCCAGGAATGGTGTTCCGGTACGGCTTAGGATTGTCAGGCGCAATATGTTTGTTCTTTCGCGGTGTTGAGGGACGGTTCAGGATCGTCAGGACGCAGCAGTAAACATTGCCGGCGTTGAGCTCCAAGAACGATGTTTGGGCGCGATCGGGGATGACACTTGTCTTCCAACGGGGCACTTCCCACAGTGAAAAGAAGTTCCTCTGGGGACTTACGAAGAGGGATTTGAACGGAGGGTTCATTGCACCATCGTCGATGCGTCTTGGGTGTGTTTTGCTCCTCCTCCTCTTCCTCCTCCTCCTCTTCCTCCTCCTCCTCCAGGCTGCCTTTTGAGGGCATCGAAACCTGCAGTTCAGCCATAAGGATTGCAGGATCGCACCCGAGGTAGTGTTGCGCCCCACACCCACAGCTTTATAGGCAGGGGGGATTGGGGGGCCGTCCAGGGGCAGAGAGTAGCGACCGTAGCACATTCTTGTTACGGTACTTTCCGGGCTTCTCATCATGTTTGTTTTCAGCGTGTCGCCGCAAATTGTGACCAGTGAGAGTTCCATCATGAAAAGACGAAAGCGCATTCGGCGTACGCACGCATTGCATTCGCAGAAAGCCAGCCTTTCCAAATTAGACCAGGCCCACTCGCCCCATCAGCCAGGCCCGCCCCATAAACAACATTCGCCTTTACTTGGTGGGAAGGTTTGTTTTGAGAGCGACTTGTGTATGGGACTAACGAGCTTGACACCTCCAGGATCGGCATTAGCAGCGACATACCATGAGGATGTACAGCCAGGACGCGAGGAGATCGATGGACAATTCACACCAGAAGAAAAGGGCGTCAGCTCGGTTTCAAACAGCACGACTGACTGAGGATTTGTCGCACGATAGAAAAATACAATATTGCAGCTTAGGGTGAAGAATTGTTTGCTTAATTTTACATAGACGAATGCATGGTTCAATTTAAACAGATACTAGATACATACTCACACGGGTTGCATCTGTTCGCCACAATCGCCAACAACTGATTTCACTTGTTGTACGCTGAGACATGATGCCGATGAAGACAACGACGACAACTACGTGGAAAACAAAAGCGATCAGCAGTCAAGCGCATTGGACGCACACATCATTGAATTTGCGCGCAGACACTGCGAATAATATGAAACACCCGCAGACATTGACATCTTTCAGATGTTGAAAGACAACCAAGACGGTTGGACCCCAAGGGGGAAAACATCGCTAACAGCTGATGTTGCTGAAAAAAGCACGATTGATCGTGGAAGAAGAGGGCACTTTGCTCGTTCCTCAACTTCTGGAAAACAAAATGTTGGAACATCGCGGAGCAAGACAGAAACGAACGGACAGGTATTGAACAGAGGGCACGATGCATTGGCACAGGGCAAAGAGATGACACGCGCGAGCATGTTTTCCAGAAGGAAGGTCCCTTGCGAAGAAAGAGAAGTACACGGTGCAATTTCTTCATGGACCGAGGTTGGAGCTTCCACAAAAAATGCGTTACAACATCGCACCTGCGATGAACAATGCAATGTTGCAGCGCCAGCTCACGCTCAGAATATCACCACCACGCTGTTGCCCAGGCGTGCATATGGCGCGTCGGTGTGGGAGATCGTTCTACTGGCTTCGCCAGTCCGCGGTGGCGGGTCGTGTTTCTCCTTCGTGGGTTATCGGTGGGGTGAAGGGGGCGGGCGGGCCCTCAGCGAGCTCAGCCCCGCCCTCGACAAACGAGGGCGGCTGAGGCTCGCCCGCAGTCTCTTTCGTACGTCCACAGGGCGGGCTTCCCCTGTTAGCGAGGCTCGGCGACCATGCCTCAACGGAGGCAGGCTCCGTCGCCTCAGGCGGCTCCCAAGCCTACAGCTGGCGCCCGGGGCTCTCGTCCATATTGTCACCCAGGGGCCCCGCTCAGGTTTGAAGCTTGACGCACCATGGACACTCAACGGCCTGGTCATTATCCTGATCCTCCTCCTCCTCCTCCTCATCCCCCTCCTCCTCCTCCTCCTCCCCCTCCTCCTCCACCACTACTAAAATCCGGCTCCACAGCCCCGCCCATGATGCGTTTTGCTCAGAATTCCAATCGGAATCCAGCCGCATCGGCGAGAAGCTTCGCGGCGGCCCAGAACAGCAAGAAACAACGCCCCCATAAAAAGGATCGAGCCTCGAAGCTCAAAATGAAAGCGTCCTCCTCGGCCTCCCCCCCCCCCCCTTATCCGAGGCGTTGTCCGAGGCCGCGGGCCTGTGCGCCCAGGCCAGCCCCTCCAGTGAGCCAGCGTGCGAGGACCTGCGCGGGGCGCTGGCGCTGCGGGCCAGCGCCGTGCGCGGGCGCCGACCCGGCCCCTCTCGGCGGCGCCCTTTCGCGGCGGAGGCTGTTGCGGCGGCCTTGCGGCGGCCTTGCGGTGGCCATGGCGGCAGCATTCGCGGCGGCCCCCCCGGCAGCCCCTGGGAGGCTTTCCGAGGCCATCGAAGGCCCTCGCGGCGGCCCTTTGGAGGCTTGCCTTCGGCGGCCCTCAGCGGTTATGGGCGTCCCTCGGCGGTCCGCCGCGGCGGCGCTGGCGTCAGAGGACGGCGACGACGACGACGACGACGACGACGACGACGACGACGACGACGACGACGACGACAACTACGACAGCGACGGCGACGGCGAGGGCGAAGGTGACGGCGAAATCGGCGACGGCGGCGGGGACGGCCACGGCGACGGCGAAGGAGAAGGCGACGGCGACGGCGACGGCGGCGGTGGCGACGGCGACGGCGACGGCGACGGCGACGGTAGCGGTGACGGCGACAGCGACGGCGACGGTGACGGCGACTCCGGCGGCGGCGACGACAACGGCGACGGCGACGGCGGCGGCGGCGACGGCGACGGTGACGGCGACGGCGACGGCGACGGTGACGGCGACGGTAACGGCGACGGCGACTGCGGCGGCGACGGCGGCGGCGGCGGGGGCGACAGCGACGGCGACAGCAACGGCGACAGTGACGGCGACGGCGGCGGCGACGGTGACGGCGACGATGACGGCGACGGTGACGGCGACGGCAACGGCGACGGCGAAAGTGGCGGCGAAAGCGACGGCGGGGGCGACGGCGACGGCGAAAACAACGGCGACGGCGGCGGCGGCGGCGGTGGGGGTGCGGCGGCGACGGAGACGGCGACGGCGACGGAGACGGTGACGGTGACGCCGACGGCAGCGGCGACGGCGACGGCGACGGCCGCGGCATCGGCGACGGCGACGGCGACGGCGAAGGCGACGGCGACGGCGACGGCGACCATGACGTTGGCGGCGGCGGTGACGGCGACGGCGACGGGAACGGCGACGGCGAAAGCGACGGCAGAAACGGTGGCGACGGCGCCAGCGACAGCGAAAGCGGCGGCGACGGCGACGGCGACGGCGACAACGACGGCGACGGCGACGGCGACGGCGGCGACGGCGACGGCAGCGGCGGCGACGACGACGGCGGCTGCGACGGTGACGGCGACGGCGGCGGCCACGTCGACGGCGACGGCGGCGACGGCGGCGACGGCGGCGGGGACGGCGACGGCGGGGGCGACGGCGACGGCGACAACGACGGCAGCGCTGGCGGCGACGGCGGCGGCGGCGACGGCGACGGCGACGGTAACGGCGGCGGTGACCTTGACAGCGGCGGTGAAGGCGACCGCCACGGTGACAGCGACGGCGACGGTGGCGGCGGCGGCGACTGCGACGGCGACAGCGACGGCAAAAGTGACGGCCGCGGCGGCGCGGTGACGGCGACGGCGACGGCAATGGCGGCGATGACGACGGACAATATTTCAAGGTTTTTGGGGCGTTCCTGGAAGTTCTGATCACTGTGAGGACCAGCGACGTGCGCCCCCCTCATTCAGGGGCGCCGGAGTTTTGAGACGTGTTCCCTTGTATTCCCGCGTTGTTCCTCCTCCTTCTTATCCTTCTCCTCCTCCTTTTTATCATCAGCAGCAGCAGCATCATCATCATCCTCTTGCGTCTTGCCTGCCCGCTGAGGCAGGGCCCAATGAGGGCCCTCGATAAAGGGGGAACAAGAACAACTGGGCAGTCCCCCATCGAGGGAGGCGTTTGACCACCCCCGGCGAAGGTCCCATCCCGACGCTGGGTGCCAGCGATTCCCGCGCCTCTTCCCATTCTTGCTGGGCGAGCTGCGCCGTCACCGTGGCATCCTCGCGCGAGGGGGTAGTGATGACTCGTAACCATGACGAGCGATTATGGTTACACGAGATTCTGTCACCGCGCGGACCGTTCAACCATGGACGATCGTGTCCTCCTCCTCCTCCTCCTCCTCCTTCTCCTCCTCCTCCTCCTCCTCCTCCTCCTCCTCCGTTTCCTCCTCCTCCTCCTCCTCCTCCTCCTCCTCCTCCTCCTCCTCCTCGGTCGGTCGGTCGGCTCACAAGGCTTGGGCAAACTACCCATGCATAGGAACACGAGGGGGTGAGAAAGCGGGGCGGTCGTAGCCTCCGCCAGCTCCTGCCTGAGCTCACGCGGGCGACCGCGCGCGCTGGAGGGAGCAAAGGGGCAGGGAGAGCAGCACGAGGGTAGGCTTCGGTCGGGCATGTCCCCCCACAGGCGGATTTGGGGCGAACAATAAAAGATAGCCAAACCATTGTCCAACATATTCAAAAGTGGTAGAAACATCGTCCCCGTACCAGGTTTGTCCAATGTTTGAACATTCCTCCTGTAGAGGGGCAGGACCGAGTTAAGGGTAGGGGGACGGTGAGGCCCGCAGATTGCGCACGGGCGCTGGGCTCCGCGTCCACCGTTAGTTGTCCCGTTGCCCATGACGTTAGGTCGGGCGTGTCCCCCTACAGGCGGATTGTGGACGGACAAAAAAGAAATAAGAATAGTTAAAGCATATTCCAAAGATATTCAAAGGTAGTCGAAAAATCGTCCCCAGGGTATCTTCTGGCTATGTTTGAATATTCCTCCTGTAGAGGGACGTGCCCGACTGAACCATAACGTCTGCTCTGGAGCTTGCAGTCGTTGCTCATATCACGGGGGCACGGGGGGCGTAGGGGTCCAAAAGGAGTGGAGAGTTGCAAGAAATGAGGCCCGACCTCATCCAGATCAACGTCCCAGACTCTGCAGACAAGGTGCGGGAATTGTCTGAGGACCTCTTGGGCCATGGTGCGAGCCAGCAGTTTGCACAAGGGCGGTGGGCACCTGGGCAGTACACCAGCTCGAGCTTTCATCCTTACCCCTAAGCGTCCTGTGAGCATGCCCCTTATGCATCTACCCCCAAAACACACACACACACACACACACACACATACACACAAACACACACACACACACACACACACACACACACACACACACACACACACACACACACAACACACACAAACACAAACACAAACACAACACACAACACACAACACACACACACACATACAGACACACATACACACACGCGCAAGAGCGACGCCATGCTGCAAGGACGGGCCGTGCACCCCAGTAGCCCCGTAGGTGTAAGGGATGTGGAACCGAAGCATTGGTCGATGCGAGCGAGCACGACATCCCGGTGCTCGAGAAGAGCACGGATGGGAGCCTCCAATTGTTGGGGGCTTGGGGGACAGGATCTGTTAGCGGGGTGTTCCATGATGGCAGGCGCCCCAATGGCCCAGTACACTTTCAGAAACGGAATGCTCGTGCGGAGAAGTCAATTTCCCAGCCTCATTTGTTGTAACTCAGGTTCTGAGATGTGCCCCCCCCCCCCCCAATGGTGAGGGATGTGGCGCAGGGGTCTTGGAGGTCTGGACTGGTCACCATCCTGAAGCGACAGGCGTCTGGCAGCGCTCCAGGTCTCACAAGGGGTCCACATCATCACCCCGAGCACGAAACCCTGCGTAACACTGGACAACCAAAGGGCAATCGTCGCTTGCCTGGTGAGATCGTCAACAGACTCATAGCCACATATGCCTGTACGGAGCACCAAGGCACGTGTAGGAAGCTCGTCGGTTATCTTTTTAAAAGAACGCCTGGAGATCTGCTTTGCACCCCGCCCCCGAGAAGAGATGGAGAATGGACCTGATCCTCTGTTGCGTTGGTCGCTCGATGCTGAAAGTGCTGGGCGTGAGTGGGCGTTCCACCTCTTCTACTTCCGCATCTGGTGCGTCAGCCCTGGGTTCGATCACGGCGTCACTCCCAAATGAAGGGGGCAATGGGAGGTCCAAACACGCGAATTGGCATGCATCGCGCAAAGGTCTCGCATCTTCCTTCCTTCCTATTCTTGGCCACCTCCTCCTCCTTCTCCTCCTCCTCCTGGCACCTGTGCCGCTGGATCCCCTTCCCATTCAAACAGCCGGGTTGCAGCCCGATCGTCACCTCGTTCGTGCCAGACCGAGGGTTGTGAGCAACCACGATGTTCGGCGACGTCGGGCGTGGGAGAGACCCTTGTTCCTCGCCCCGCGTGTTGCCCCTCCCAGCCTTCCCACGGCCCAGATCCCCCGTCCGGGCGTGCGTGAGAGCAGGGTTTGTCTCGCGTGAAGGTGGTGCCCCACGGAGGCTTACTGGAGCGGCACGGCCAATGGGCGCGTCGTTCTCTGAGGGCGCTGGCGCCCGCGACCTCCGACATGTGAGAACGCGCGGCGCGCCAGGGTACGTGCTGCCCGCGTTTTGTGTTTCGGGGTGCGAGGGCAGATTGATACTGCTTTGGACTTCCCCCCTGCTCTCTGGTCCCCACAGGCAGGCTTTGCAGAGCGGTGCTGCTGACTGTCATCCTGAAGGCGTGCCGCCTCGCAGCGGCGGGAGTGTCCTTGTCGACGCACGGATCGGGGATGTTGATGGCATACCACGTGTTTCAAGGCCCTGTGGTGGGTTGAACCAGTGTGTAATAGGAGAGGAAAGGCTGCCGGGTTCCCAGGATTGGTGTTGGTGTCAGTTTTCACCGACGTGCTGGGGCCCAGCCATCTGTGCCGCGTGGACGGCTTCATATTGAATCCTACTAGTTGAATCCTCCTCCTCCATCCTCTTCCTCCTCCTCCTCCTCCTCCTCCTCCTCCTCCTCCTCCCCGCCTCCTCCTCCTCCGAGAGAGAGAGAGAGAGAATGAGAGAGAGAGAGAGAGACGGAGACGGAGAGGGCTGGCGCTGGCGCACGGGGGGGCCTCCCGGTGGCAACCCTTCTGCGCAAGCCGATGGTCGCCCCAATGACGGACGGGTCCCTGGCGAGGCCTGCGCCTCGAGATGCCGCGGTGGTACCGGCCGCTGTGCGGGCAGGGCGCAGGGACGCGGCCTCGACGGGGTGCCCCGCTCGGGGACGGCCCGACGTGAGCCGCGCGGGGGCCCGGCGGAGTCCACCGGCAGGGGCGGCCCGACTGCCCGGGGTGCACCCAGAGGGAGGGCCCACGGAACGGCCGCTCTCTGGGCGTAAGTCGGGCCTGTCCTCTACAGGGGGATATTCAAGAGTAGTAGTCAAAAAAGGGATAGTCTGGGGCGATCCTGCTAGCACGTTTTGACTACATGGGGGCATTTGGGTTTGGGCTGTATGTGTCGTCCAATACCCGCCGGTAGGAGGACATGCCCGACCTAACCCTAGGCCTCCCAGGTGGGGTCCGAGTAGATGGGGTCTGAGGGTCTCGGGCGGGTGGTAATGGGGAGTGCCCCAGACGGGGGGGGTTAAGAAGAGGGCCCCGAGAGGGCACTTTGGGGCCCCTGCTGGCTCCCAGAGGGGTCCCGAAGTACCCTGTTGGGGGCCCTTTTCTTCACCCACCCGTGCAGGTCGCCCCCCGCTGCCACCGGCCCGAGAGTCGCGCGGCGATGCGGCTCGATGTGGGGCCCGATTCCTCCACGCCGACGTCGCCGATGCTTAGCTGACGTTGCCAACTCATCGCGGGTGTATCGGCGATACATTGGCGATTCGGTGCAATCTTCCGACCCCATCTACTCGGACCCCATACAGGAGGCCTCTACGCTCGGGGGGGAAGTGCTTCGGAAACGAAGAGACGGCAAAGGTATGAGCTTTCTTGTCGGAGGAGCGCTCGGATTGAGTGCATCGTCGTTGGACCATCTGCGCGTGCCTCTGGATGTTTCTGCTTGGTTGCTTGTGTTTCTTACAACCACGCTTGGTCGGTCGGTTGGCCATGAGGCACAGAGGCTCGTGGCTTGCGCCAAAGTGGGGCAGAGCAGAGGCAGAGGGGAAGCCTGCACGAAAAGTGCAGAGACCAATATTGATCATCATCCTATCCCTGCCTCCTAGGCGAGCGAGCGCCATCGTGTCCTACCACAGCGATCGAATAACGACAAACTCTGAACGCACAAACGACCTCAAACTCGATCTCTGATCACCTTCGTGCAGATTCAACGGAGAATGATGTGCAACAAAAGTGTGGACAGGCGGTTAAGCCCGCAGGAGCGAGTGTACTAGAATTACGGCCTCCCTCCTCCCTGGTTCTCTTCCTCCTCCTCCTCTCTCCTTCTTTCTTCTCCTCCTCCGCCTCCTCCTCCTCCCGGACCAAGCCTGGCACAAACACGATCCGGTCTGTGCGCCACTACTGACCACCTCCGCTACCGCATGGCCAAAGGGGGGCCAGAGGCGGATGGCGTCTCCCAGTGCCTGACAGGGAGACCCCGGCCACCTCGACATCAGAGCGATCGATCAGGGCGGGCGGCATCCTGCGCCCTCTCTTGCACGGCTAGTGCCCGCCGTTCGGACGGGCTGGACGAGAACATGCCAGACCTTGTTCAGCGGATAGTTGGCAGGTGAGCAACCGAGGGGACGGAGATTGGACAGGACACGCGCTGAATGAGAACCTGCAGCAGGAAGTCCAGCACACTCTGCAGAGAGCTCGGCAGAGCCCCTGAGACCTCCGAGCCCGCACACGGAGGACACTGCGCACCAAACGCCATTCTTAAGCCTATGAGGTGCACGACATGCGCCCGACCACCAGACTCAGCAACTCGCGTGTGTGCCATGTCAGCACGGACGAGCGGCACGGAGCGTGACGGTGGAGGGGGGGAGAGACGGTAAGGGTGGGTGGCTTGTCTCGCCCACCCCTCTGGCCGACAGGCACATGCTCACAGTCGAAATCAGCAATCCGAGCCACCACCATCGCCACCCACCTCCAATCGTCAGCCAAGACCTTGACCTTGGCCTTGCAGGAGCCTCGAACCTCTTTCGGAACATGAATCCGTTCGGCAGACCCCCTGGCCCAGTCATCGGTTTCGTCGTTCCCAGCCTTTTCAAAGGCCGTGCAGAGACCTCGGTCGACGCACAGATGGGTGCAGTGTTCCTTGACTCCTCGTCGTCCTCCTCCTCCTCTTCCTCCTCCTCCTCCTTCCTCCCTCTTCCTCCTCCTCCTCCTTCGTGCTCGTCTTCGACCCCATCCTCAGAATGCTAGCGTCTAGGCTTCCCCAACGCGTGCGCTCAGGAGATGGACCATCGTCGCCGGGCGGCCCCGGAAATGTTACGACGAATTTCTCTGATTCGCTCTCTTCTTGGTTGCGCTGCACAGGGGCATTCACCGATGACGTGGGAGGAGCCAGTGGTAAGATTGCCGTGCTACGTCCCTTGGGGTGTGGAGGATGGCAAGCCGCGCAGTGGGGCTTCATTTACACATGGATAAAACAGTAGTTGTTCTTCTTGGCAGATACTCGGAAGAGGCCCTACGCTGGAATATTGCTGCACTTGGCGTCGACGATTCCTCTTGTCGCATAGCTCCGTATGGTAAGCACTTGGGGGTTATGCTAGGCCCGGATAGCCGCGAGGCGTCCTGGGCAGGCCCACGATTGAAATGTTGCATCTGTGGGAAATAAGTCACCGCCCTGAAAGTTGGGTTCACGAAAGGTATGGCCCTGCATCCCTGCATAATCTGCTCGCCTTCTCTTACATAACGTTTGTCGGACATCTGCTGCCGCCTACTCCGAAGGTCCTCCGTGCTGAGAGGGAAGTCGTCATGGGCATATGTCGTGCACCTCGTAACTCGATGCCGCCTGCCTTGCTGTTTGACCTCCAGACGCTAGAGTTCCCAGTCCAACCGCGTCGACTTGAGCACACGTGCAGGGCCGCCATGTTTCGGTATGCGCAGAGAAGTCATGCCTTCCAGTCGTCAGTCGAGCTTTTCTCGCAGCTCAGCTCGGAGGACGAGTGTTTGGTGGCTTGGGCTCGGCACCCCTGGCTCAGATCGTCGATTTTCCAGGCGCTGTGGGACAACTGGAAATGTCTCACGGGTACTCCTGGGATCCCACGTGAAAAAGCACAGCTTCAACGTAAGGTATATGACCTTCTTCGCCAGCGCAACGAAGACCGCAGTGAGAGAGCGGTGGGGGTGCTCGCACGGCGTCCACAGCGGTATGAGCCAGGCCTGACGCGGGAGCAGGGCGCGCGCTTTGCCATTGGATTCCCCCGTCTTGCTCCTCTCCTTCCCCCGTGGGTGCTGGCCTCCTTCCACAAGACCCTTTGCAATGACTGGACTATCTCTGCGCGTTTCCAGGGGTGCACCAAAGCGTGTCGTGCGTGCGGGCTGCCCGGGTCCGATAGTCTAGATCATATGTTGGACTGCCCTGCATTTGCCGAAATATTATTTTTCCTACCTAAGCTTTCCAATATCTTTACTCTCGGTCTCAGTGCTGAGAAGATCGCCGTGTGGCAGGTTGTACAGCCGCCCTAGAACACTTTGTCCGCGGTTATCTATACCGATTTGGTGTTCTACGTATACCGCATCACCCAGCATGTGCAAGCGCCCATTCATGGCGTTTCTGCGCACGCGCGTGCACGCACACAGCATATTGTGCGCGTTTGTCCGGGCGTGGTTGGTGTGTTTGGTCATCTTGGTCATTGACGGTTATTCGTTTCTCGTCCCCTCTTTTTGTCTGGCCGTCCCCTCTTTTGGTGAGCGCGCTCCTCCTCCTCATCCTCCTCCTCCTCGTCCTCCTCGCTGGCCCGCGCTTGCTGCGAAATATGTTCATAGCTCTAGGTCCAGCCACTTTCTGTCGCGGTTGAGGCGTGCATGTGGCGAAGCGCGCGGTGGAGGCCATTGGATCCCAGGGCTGTCTGTCTGTCTGTCTATATCCTCCACCTCCGCCACATCCGCCTCCTCCGCCTCCTCCTCCTCCTCCTCCTCCTCCTCCTCCTCCTCCTCCTCCTCGTTGTTCCCTGCTCATTCACCTCTTCCGCCTCATCCTCCTCCGCCCCCTCCTCCTGCCGACCCTCTCTCAGAAGTCGGCCCCAGAACCTCTCCAGGAGTGCGTTCTTTCTTCTTCTAAGACGACGAATGCATCGAGGGCAATCTCGCCGTTGCAGCGAGAGGGCTCCTGGAGGCCCAAACAACAAGAAACCACATTTAAAGATACCTTCCTCCTCCTCCTCCTCCTCCTCCTCCTCCTCCTCCTCCTCCTCCTTCCTCCTCGTCCCAGTCCTCCGTTCTGCCCTCTTCCTCGTCTCCGTCCTCGTTTCCGTCCTCATCATCCTCCTTCTCCTCTTCCTCCTCTTCCTCCTCCTCCTTTTTCCTCCTCGTTCTCCTCCGTTTTTCTTCTCCTCCTCCTCTTATCCTCATCCTCCTCCTCCTCCGCCTCCTCCTCCTCATCCGCTTCCTCCTCCTCCTCCTCCTCTTCCTCCTCTTCCTCCTCCTCCTCCTCCTCCTCCTCCTCTTCCTCCTCCTCCTCCTCCTCCCTGCTTCTTCCTCATCCTCTCTGTTCCTCCCTGCTCCCTTCTCCTTCCTGCTCCTCTTCCCTGCTTCTCCCTTCTGCGCTTCCTCCTTCTTCTCTGGCGGGCAACCCACGCGGGGCGGCCGCCGGGCTTCGGAAAGAGGGCGGAGAGCGCCACCGCTGCAGAGGTGCCAGGAGGCGGAGGGGGAGCTCGCGGCGCTGCAGCAGGACATCGGGCCCGAGGGGGACGGGATGACGTGGCATCGTCGCCATCGTCGTCTTTGTCGCCGTCGTGGTACTCCTCCGCCTCGTCGTCGCCGTCGTCGTCGCCGTCGTCGTTGTCGCTGTCGTCGTCGCCGTCGTCGTCGTCGCTGTCGTCGTCGCCGTCGTCGTATTCGTCGTCGTCGTCGCTGTCGTCGTCGCCGTCGTCGTCGTCGCTGTCGTAGTCGCCGTCGCCGTCGTTGTCGTTGTCGCCGTCGCCGCCGCCGCCGCCATCGTCATCGTCGGCGTCGTCGGCCCCGAGGTTTTTCGGCCGGCAACTTAGGGGACTCTTTGGGGTCCTCCGCGAGCCTTCTTGTCGTCACGGCTGGTTCCCTTTAGGAAGCCTTGGCAGAACGCTTCCCCAGGAAAGGTCGGTGCGGGACTTATTGGAGTGCCAGGAGGGGAGGAGAAGGAGGAGGAGGAGGAGGAGAGGGAGGAAGAGGGAGGAGGAGGAGGAGGAGGAGGAGGAGGAGGAGGAGGAGGAGGGAGGAGTAGGAGCGCCCACTCGTCCCAAGTCCCCGCACAACCCCTACAAGAGTGCTCGCTCCCTGCGGGAGCTGCCCCCCTGAGAGACGAGCCCCCCATGGTCCTGCTCTTCAGGCGAGGGCCCCGCTTCGAAGAGGAGCTGCCGTCCATGCGCTTGTAGCCCCCATGGCCGCCCTGCAGGGCCGTAGTTGCGCCGCGTCGCGTTGATCTCTCTCTCTCTCTCTCCGCAGCCTGCAGGGGTAGGCCGGACACCTGAGTCCCTGCTGCATCCTTCTTGTTTCACTTTCTGGTTCCGGATTGGGGTAGTTTGATCGCCACTTCCCGCCGCGCAGGTTGGGACGCTCGAGGGAAAAGGCTTGTAGCCCCCATGGATTGGCACGCCACACTGGGGGAGACCAGGAGGTCCAGGGACGTGTCCAGCGGGCGCCCCCTCCTCGAAGCGGATCGGACCATCCATCCGTGCAATTTTGGCGCGCAGCAGCAGATGTCTGACCACACGGGCGATGAACGTCTCACGCGAACACATGTTTTGATGGGAAGGGATCAAAGGGAAGGGGCTTCCCTTCGACTCAGCTACAACGGGCACAGGGAAAGGAGAGGGGAGCGGCGAAGGCGAAGACGACGACGACGACGACGACGACGAAGACAACGATCACGACGACGACGACGACGACGACGACAAGTTAAGCGGAACAGCCTCTTCCACACGCCGACAGGGTCGGCGGATTTGTTGATGGGAGTGGCCCTCCACCCGTGTCACTGTTGGAAGATGTTACGACGAATGTGCGCGGCGCTAACGTAGGACGTAGGAGCCACATGTTGGAACTGCATCCCCATCCATCCGCGTGACTGCCGGAATCGTTTTAGGTGAATGTGCGCGGCACTTGGGCGACAGAGGCATTCTGAAAACGCCCCCACCTTCCATCCGTTTCATTGCTGGGGGCAGTTAAGACGAATCATCGCGGCGCTAACGCGAGAGCTGCATTTCGAAAACGCCCCTCCCCCCCCCTCTCGCACAACTGCTGGAATCGTCAACCTCTCATCCGCATAATGTCTGGAATCGCTTAAGACGAATGTGCCCAGCGCCCAGGCGAGAGCCACATCTTGAAAACGGCCCTTTCCCCTGTACCAGTGTGACTGCTGAAAACGTTTAAGACGAATCATCGCGGCGCTAAGGCGAGAGCCACATTTGGAAAACGACCCACACATCCGTTTAATTGTTGGAAGCGGTTACGTGGGACGAATGTGCGCGGCGCTAAAGCGAGAGCCGCATATTGAAACAGACCCCCCTCCATCAGTGTAACTGCTGGCAGCTTTAAGACGAGTCACCGCGGCACGAAAGCGAGAACCACATTTTGAAAACCACCGCCCCCCCTCCATCCGTGCAACTGCTGGAATGCCAAAGCTTCGGGCCCATAAGTGGGGAGAAGGTCTCAGGCGAAACGCCCAGCCCGCCCTACCGACATGTTCCGACGCGTCTGTTTGTCAAATGAGGAGGAGTTACGTATGAGGAGATGGGATCGAGGGGAACGGAGGAGGAGGAGAAAGAGTAGAGGAGGAGGGTCAGACGAAAGGGAGGGTGGGAAAGGGCGTGTTTGAGATTGTGGGGCTTGCTCGGGTGAAGGATCGGGTCGGACCAAAGGGGGGATTGGGAAGGGGCTCGAGATTCGAGGGCTTCGTACATTTTCATAAGCTCTCGACGGTTTGGCAGCCTCGGGATGCTCTCCAGCAGCTGTGCCTCGCCGAGAGCAGCCCGGGGTTGCACGAATACGGACGCCAGAGACGACGAGGATCACTCGGGGTGGACGAAAGGCGGTGGCTGGGACAGGAGGGAGGTACGAACGAGATCTAGTGCGAGCAGCTGGCTTTGGCCCCGCCGCCGGACGCCTGCCTCGATTCGTGGCCGCCCCCGTCGCGGGGGGCCCTTGACACCGGACGGGGCCAGGGCGAGGACACACCGTCTCCAGAGCGTCCTGCTCTCGGAGCGTTCCGGCAGACTTTGAGAAGGCCGCGGCGCCCGACACATCCTCCAGAGCCGCTGGATCTCAGAGATTCTCGATGTATCCTCACCCGAATGTATCTTCGTCCTGGCTTCGTCTTAGGTCCTTGACGCGCTCGGGAGGCTGGGGTTCGGAGGTGCAGCTCTCTGCAGCCACCAGGTGGTGCTGGCGGTAGGAGGTGAAGAGCCCCCGAAGCCCTCCAGAAGCTTGGGGGTGCACGCGCAGGTCCCCTTGGAGCACTCAGTGAAATCCGTGACGCTTCGCAGACGGTCGGCCCGAGGTATAAGATCGAGGTCGGCTCGGGGAGGGTACCCTAATGTCCTTCGTGCTTGTTGGATGTTCTTGTGCATCGCGGGGGGCGTACCCTTGGCTGTTCTGTGTGTCTTGGCTGGCAGAGGGCCTCATGTTCTTGGAGGATGTTATTCCGCCCTAGACCGCATCCCCACCAGCCCATCCAGCAACGATGTCCAGGCGAATGGCCCTGGGGCCCTGATCAGGGAAGCGGGGGAGCACGCAGTGGAACAACGAGCTGGAACCTTCCAGGAAGCTGGGGGCCGGATGTGCAGGCTTCCCTGGAAAGCACTCGGGGAAAGTTGGGGCCCGCGGCATGTCGAAGTGTCGGGAACAGCAAGGGCCCCACGCGCGGGCGGGCGGCTGCTATCGTGGCCGGGAGCCGGGCAGCTCAATCTGGTTCGCAGGGCCATCGTTGACAGTCGGAGGTTGGTGGAGCCCCAAGCCTTACCAGCCTGAAACAAATCCCTGTCCTTATGATCGGCATCATCTAACCTCGATGTTCTGAGGGTATACACCTGAGGTTGTTATTGACGTTGAGCTTGGCAACTGAAGGGCCGCACGATATGCACGTGGTAGGTAGGGAAGATATACCCCCGAGGGGTACGATCGAAGACGAAGAGGGCGGGTACCGAGGGTTTGAGATGTACGTGTTGAGTGGCACGCGGGCAGATAGGAGCGGACAGTGCGGTTGTTGTTGTTGGACTCTCATTCTTGATGGATATTGCTGATCCCCCCGCACCAGTGCACATTGTGTTCAATTGAAGTGTCCCCCTCGAGGTTCCCACAATTCAGGGGAAGTCTTCGTGTTCAAACTGTGTTGTTTGTTGCCCCCCTGGCTACAACAACAATGACTCCCGCCGAATACTTCCTCGCATGCTATTCCAAAATCGCGTTCTCGCGCGGGACCCCCTTACAATGTATGCAGAAATCGCGCTCTCGCGTTGGACTTCTTCGCAATTGATTCAGACGCCGCGCTCTCGAAACTCAGGGGTCGCGCTGTCGCTGTTGCTTGTTTCCACAGTTATTTGGGAATCGCGATATCGCTAGGATCTCTCTCGCGATTAATGCCAGGCGCACGCTTCAGCAACTCGCCTGCTCGACGTGGCCGCCTGGGCCCGCCTTCTTGAACCCGCCCGCTAGGGTCTGCCCGCCCCATTTGCCCGTCTGGTTCTGCCACTTGTTTTCTGTTCCTGGCTCCTTCCTGCTCATTTCTCTTTTGATCCATCCTTCTCCCCCCATTATATCCGGCACCCCTTCCCCTGCTTAAGGGCTGCCCGACACGTTCTAGGTAAGAAGGATATATCCCCGTGGGGGTACGATCGAAGTCGAGAAGGGCGGGTACTGAGGATTTGGGATATACGTGTTGGATGGCACCCGAGCAGATAGGAGCGAGCAGTCTTAAAATGAGTGTTGCTAAGTTTTCGTGATTGAAGAGTAATTGTTGCAAATCCTACCTCACCAGTGCACATTGTGTTTTTCAACTGAAGTACCCCCATCGGGGCCCGCACCCGGTTCGTATCAGGGAAAGCATTCCTGGTCAAACTGCCCCGGTGCCCCCCGGGCTATGGCAATAGCGGCTCCCGTCTGATATTTCCTCACGGTTGATTCCACGATCACGCTCTCGCGCGGGACTTCATAATGTATGCAGCAATCGCGCTCTCGCGTGGGACTATCTCGCAATGGATTCAAAAACCGCGCCCTCGAGACTCAGGAATCGCGCTCTCATGTTGGCATCTCTCACGATTTTCCCGGGGATCGCGGTATCGCTAGAATCTCTCTCGCGATTAAAGCCAGGCGCATGCTTCAGCAACCCGCCTGCTCGACGTGGCCGCCTGGACCCGCCTTCCTGAACCCGCCCGCTAGGGTCTGCCCGCCCGATTTGCCAGTCTGGTTCTGCCACTTGTTTTCTATTCCTAACTCTCTCCTGCTCATTTCTCGGGTGCTCCATCCTTCTCCCTCTATTCCATCCGTCCTCCCTTGCCCTGCTCTAGGAGCTACGCTACATGCACGTGGCAGGTAAAGAATAAGGGGGTACGAGCGAAGTCGAGAAGGGCGGGTATTGAGGATGTGGGATATACGTGTTGAACGGCACGCGATCATATAGGAGCGAACAGTCTTAAAATGAATGGTGTCGTTGCTGGTGGTGTTGAACTGTTTCTTTTGAAGAGTAAGTCTTGCTGATCCCCCCTCACTGGTGCACATTGAGTTATTCAATTGAAGTGCCTCTCCCCTCGGGGCTCGCCCCTTGCTTTGCACCAGGGAAAGTACTCCTGTTCTAAATGCGTTACTGGGCCCCGAAGTACAACAACAACGGCGCCCCCTGGTACTTCACAATGTAATACAACATCGTTTTCTCGCGCAGGACCTCCTTACAAAGTACGCAGGAGTCGCGCTCTCGCGTAGGAGTTCTTCGCAATGGATTCAGACGCCGCGCCTTCGACACTCAGGAATCACGCTCTCGAGTTGGTTTGTCCCACGATTTATTCGGAAATTGCGCTGTCGCTCGAATCTTCCTCGCTATGTATGCATGACTCACGCTTCAGCAACCCGCCTGCTCGACCTGACCGCCTGGGCCCGCATTCCCGACCCGCCCGCTAGGGTCTGCCCGCTCGATCTGCCCGTCGGGTTCGCACCCTGTTTCTGCATCAGGGAAAGTCATCCTTCTCAAAGTGCGTCGGTGGGCCCCGAACTGTATCATCAACGGCTCCCGCCTAATACTTCCTCACAATGTGTTCCAAACTTGCGCTCTCGCGCAGGACATCCTTACAATGTATTGCAGGAATCGCGCTCTCGCGTAGGACTTCCACGCAATTGATTCGGGCGCTGCAAATCACGCTCTCGCTGTGGCCTTGGGAATCGCGTTTTCGCTCGAGACTTGTTTGCAGTTCATGCAGGACTCACGCTTCAGACACACGCCTGTTCGACCTGGCCGCCTGAGCCCGCCGTCCTGATCCGCCCGCGAAGGTCTGGCCGCCCGATGTGCCAGTCAGGTTTTGCCACGTGCTTTATGCCCCTAGCCCCCCTCCAGTTCATTTCTCTCGTGTTCCATCCGTCTCCCTCCCCCTACCCCCGTCCTTTCCTCCCCTGTTTCAGGGGCCACGCTGCATGCACGTGGCAGGCAAGGAAGAGATACGCTCAAGGCACGATCGAAGACGAAGAGGGCGGGTACCGAGGGTTCGGGAGATACGTGTTGAGTGGCACGCGAGCAGATAGCAGCGAACAGGTCAGAAAAGATGGAACTCTCATTCTTGAAGAATATGTATGATTGATCCCCCTCACCGGTGCACATGTTGTTTTTCAATCGAAGTGTCCCCCTCGGGGTTCGCAGTGTTTTGCACCAGGGAAAGTCATCCTTCTCAAAATGCGTCGTTGGGCCCCGGACTGCATCATCAACGGCTCCCGCCGAATACTTCCTCACAATGTGTTCCAAACTTGCGCTCTCGCGCAGGACATCCTTACAATGTATGCAGGAATCGCGCTCTCGCGGAGGACTTCATCGCTTTGGCCTTGGGAATCGCGTTTTCAATCGAGACTTGCTTGGAAGTCATGCAGGACTCACGCTTCAGACACACGCCTGTTAGTTCGACCTGGCCGCCTGGGCCCGCCTTCTTGACCCGCCAACTAAGGTCTGGCCGCCCGATATGCCAGTCAAGTTCTGCCACAAGTTTCTTCTCCTAGCCCCCCTCCAGTTTATTTCTCTCGTGTTCCATCCGTCTCCCTCCCCCTTCCACCCGTCCTTTCCTCCCGTGTTTTAAGGGGCGGCGCTACATGCACGTGGCAAGTAAGAAAGAGATACGCTCAAGGGGGCACGATTGAAGACGAAGAGGGCGGGTACCGATGGTTCGGGATATACGTGATGAGCGGCACGCGAACAGATAGGAGCGAACAGTCTTCAAATGTTTGTTGTTGTTCAACTTTCATTCTTGAAGAAGAATTATTGTTGGTCCCCCCAACCCGTGCACATTGTGTTTTGCCCGCCCTCGGGGCTCGCACCCTGTTTTTTATCAGGGAAAGTCTTCCTGCTCAAACTGCGTTGTTCCCACCACAGCTATACAATGTGTGCACGAGTCGCGCTCTCGCGTATTCACAATTTATTCAGACGCCGCGCCTTCGACACTCAGGAATCACGCTCTCACTGTGGATATCCTCACGATTGATTTGGGAATCGCGTTTTAGCTCGAGACTTCCTCGCGACTCATGCAGGACGCACGTTTCAGCAACCCGCCTGCTCGACCTGGCCGCCTGGGCCCTCCTTCCCGACCCGCCTTGTAGGGTCTACCCGCCCGATCTGCCCGTCTGGTTCTGCCACGTGGTTTCTGCTCCTAGCCCCCCTCCTCCTAGCCTCTCTCGTGCTCCATCCTCCTCCATCGACTTTGTCCATTCCTTCCATCTGTCTTCCCTCCCCCGCTGTGCTGTCCTCCAGAAAGATGTACCCCCAAAGGGTTACGGTCAAAGACGAGAAGGGCCTGTATCGAAGGTTCGGGATATACGCGTTGAATGGCACGCGAGCAGATAAAAGCGAACAGTCTTCAAATGTTTGTTGTTGTTATTGTTGTTTTTGCTATGTTTGTTGGTTTTGTTGTTGCTGGTGTTGTTGTGGCGGAGGGCGGTTCCGGCGCAACCCCGAAACGCATGAGCGTGAACCTAATTTCCAGAGGGATTGCAG